GATTGCTTGTTCTTTAGAATCACATGGCTCCACTGGTTGGGCGTCAGATCAGTTCACTAGTCTGTGCTCTTCATAGTTGTTTGACACGTTGTGGGTATATTCTGGGGGGGTATATCTTGTTTGTTTTGGTTTTCTTGTTGCGATTAGCTCCTCTTCCTGTTCCCGTCTATGTCCTGCTTTGGCTCTTTGGTGCCTGGGTGTGCCATGCATCGCTTCTCAAACTCCTGGAACCGCAAACACTAAACATGGCTCAGGAAACACACCGCAAGGCCATGAATTTGTCCCCTGAAGTGTCAACGGCTTCCTTTCAGATTGAAATATCAGCAGGTCCCAAATCAATCGAGAAACTCCCCCAAGTGTCTGCAAAACCCGAGTGATCCAGAGCTGTTTTAACTTCAGACGCAAACCGGACACCGTCGCTCACACCAATAGCAATGGCCACTAACGTCTCAAGTAGTCATGCGGGATGTGGTAAATAGTCGCAAGATGATCCCGCTTTCACGCATGTAAATTGTGACGCTAACTGCTCGGCCTGGAAAGGGCACCTTGGGTCATCCGTCCTAGTTGGCCAAGACTCGTTAAGCACGCCGGACAGATCCCAAAGACAATGCCAAGCCCACAGGTGTAAACCTACAAGTGCGCCTTGCCTGAACAAAACTGGCTCATGAAACAAAACTGAAGGCTGGCAGCAAGTCCATTTATTGTCTCACTCTTTTACTCGCAACTTGCAGCTTATGGGAAGTGAAAGCATCCAATGATGCTTCTGGATTTAGACATTTTGGACCGTTTCAAACATAATGACTTGTGGATGCTTCTGAAAGGAAGCTAAAGGACACTCCGCAAGCAACAGGCCCTTTTGACATCACCCCAAAGGCAACTTCATACCTGGCACGAAAAGCCAAGATTGAACCAACAAAGTTGCAACACAGAAGGCCTGAGTAAGCAATTCTGAGAAAATCGCCCCAGCTCAGTGGCTCTGGTCAAAGGCGACCCTTCTCCGTGTGCACCATTTGAGTCACATGCTCAAAACCGATCGGTACAAAAATTGTCGTAATCCCAGAACCATGTAAAGAACTAAGGTGGCCGCAGCTACATTGGCTGGGATCGTCCCTTACTAACCTTCACTTACCCGGATTTGATTGTGGCTCATTTGGAGTGAGGAACCGTGCCACTTCAGCGAACGCGTCTTTGCATCCGCGTGTCTGTTGGTGGAGTGCAGGGCCCGGAGCAAACGAAGGTGGCGGGCGTCAAAGAGCCAGCATGACCTTGTCTCGGCAGTACCACGCGCACACCCGTTGCTTTTTGGGCGAAAGCTTAGAGCCGAAGTTCACCAGCTGCTTTCGTGGCTTCACGAATGCGGACAAGCATCCAAAAAAGGCGTGTCAAACTGTTTGGTACTGTTTGGTTCCATGGTGTTCTTCAAACATCGATAAAGAGTCTCTCTTTTCGAGAAGCGGCATGGCCGAAGACAACCACGCGCCTTCAACAGCCAGTTGCAAAAAGAAAGCATGGACGGACACAAAACACTCATCAACAAGTTCTGAAATGGCGTGAGCGTGCATGATATCCTTACAGCCTGCACACATGGGACAAGCAACCAATGCGAGCAAGCTCTAGGGCCAACAATCATTCGTGTTCAGAGATGCGCTTCTCGCGGCTTCGATCCGTCTCGCGGACGAGCTGCAAGCTAAGGAATCCAGACTGGGAAGATAGCCTTCGCCTTAGAGAATGGGTGTCAGCACTTGCCGCAGACTTGTTTGGGGTGGTTTACAGGGAAGTCAAAGGGACAGGATGATTTTTTTTCTGGGGGTCTGGGAGGTTTCGATCATGGAAGACGACAGCGTTAGAGCCGTGCACTCGAATGAACCCCTATGAGTCGGTTGACGTATTCATCTTGTTTGGCTTTTTCATGGATGGAAGCAAACAATCGATTGGTTGCTTGATTGGCCGGTCCACTAACTGACTGCCAGACACTGACTGACTGACTGACTGACTGACTGACTGACTGACTGACTGACTGACTGACTGACTGACTGACTGACCGACTGACCGACTGACCGACTGACCGACTGACCGACTGGCTGGACTGATCTGACACACGAACTAATACATACCTTGTTGATGTAACCATACGTCGGATAGTTGTTTTTGCCATCTGTCACCATGGCTCATGTCCTTTTCCAAGCGACTCACAGCGTCCGCCACTTGCGGAGCTATCAGGTGACAATAGCTGGGCTGGACTCTGAATCCACCCAGTCGCTGCTTGAAAACTCTTGCAAGTACGTGGTGCAAGGTGTATCCTACTTAAACAGACCTTCATATCTGTGGCTGCTGGCTGTGTGTCAAGTCCCCTTCTGACTGAGCCAAAAACCCTGAAAATACAAACTACAACCCTTCCTGCCGCCTCTAAATTAGTCTTCACCCAGAGTGGACCAGTTCCCTATTTCAGTCATGACTTGCGTCTTTCGGCTTCCTTCCAGCCACCCCAAAAAACACCTTTTGGTTCGCTTGCCAAGGCTGGCGCTGCACTGCGGGGTGCAGGTGCTGCCGCTGAGGACGTTCGCCCCCTCGCGGCTCGGGGGGACTGTGGGCTTCCCAAGAAAAAGCAAGCCGAAAGAGGGTCTCAACACAAACACACCCACATGCGCCTTTTTTTTCTCCAGGGAAACAGAGCTGTGCTGGGAACTAAAAATTGTGCTTTGAGCCAGTGAAATTCATCACCGGTATCGTCAACATAGTGATTCAGTGATATCAACTTCACGAATGGCACGGTGTGAGATAATCTCTGTGCAAGCTGAACTCACACCACTTGCCAGAAAGGGCACAACGAGCTTCCTAGATCGATTCAGACACTTCGAGGAACCCTCGGAACTAGCACATAAACAACGCTCCCCGATAAAGATGCCTGGCAGCTAAGCTGGTTCAATCTATCAATGGCAAGGGGGCAATCCCAGCTTGCCCCGCACCTTCCATATGCCAGTTGGTATTGCGATGCCACATCCCAAACCAAAGCCTTCAGGCGAAGTTCGTCACATTTCGTCACATCTGCTCCAAACAAGGGATTGGCAAGAGCTGGCAACGAGCCTTCCCCTGTGCTTCATTTCTCACTCCTCAGGACTGAAAGCAACCGCAGCAAAAATGCGGTGGCAGCAGCAGCAGCGGTGGCGGCAACAGCAACGGGCTCCTCTCAACTAGGTTGCTCTTCCTGAGCAAAAGCTCGATCTTCGTTGTGGCAACGCCCATTTGGGCGTGTCCTTCTTCAGGCTATACACCTGTTTCCTTGGTTTTCGAGGGAGGGCAAAACAGAAAACGACCGTTTTGGGGGTTCGCCCAAAACTCGCCACACCCATGTGTGTCCAAATCTGTTTGGTGGCACCGGTCACGGCGAGGCCCTGCCTCCTTACAGCTGCCCGACGAAGCAGCATTGGCCACCTCCGGGGCCTTGCAGGGCTCGGGCTTGCACCTGGCGAACGGCGCTTCGCTCGCGACGTCGAGTCGCTGGGCGTCGCGTGGTGTGGGTGGAGGCGAAAGCCGGCAGCGGCCAATGGCTGGCGAAACGCCCCAGGCATTCGGTCACCCAACACTGGACATTGGGGGCCTGGCAGCTAGATTAAATACCAGAAAAATCGGCCAACAAACCACTGGACATAGGGGCCTACCAGCTAAATCAATTACATACCAGCAAAACCGCCCAACAAGCCAATTGGACATTGGAAGGGGGCAGCGAAATACCCAGAAAAAGCCACCTATTCCGGCGATTTCGACATGCCCAAAAGGCATTGGGTCAAACCCGTAGCCCCACTAAAATAGGTTCTAAAATGGGTGGTGAATTCACCTACCAAAATGGGATCCCAAAACGGTTTTGACCCACAGCCAAAATGTCGTCCATCCGTTTGTCGGGTCCAGGGCGCTCGAAGTCTGCGGGCTGCAGGCTGCCCACCGAGCAGCTCAATGAGGGCACCGAGGGCCCGTAGCCAGGCGCGCACTGCCTGCATCTCCATTGCCACAGTGCTCCAAAAAAACGGGACCCCCCCCGCCATCCCCAAAAAAGAAGAAGCTGGAAGTTCGTTTTCGGGCGTCCCGCAAAAACAAAAAAACGAAACGTAAAGAGGAGACCCCCAAACAACACGGACCCCCTTTCCGTTTCCAACAGGGACAATTCAATGAGCTGGCGGAAGAGATTTAGTAGACCTTTGCGTTTCCAGGGAAAAGCGCTATACTAGTCTTGCAAGCCCCAAATGAAGAACATCTGATCTGTTGATGGCATCAAAGGTTTGGCAGGCGCAGTTCCCGGGCAAAATGCAAATCTTGGGGAAGGGGACATGTCACTCTTGCTAGAGAGAACTTTGCAAGGTCACGAGGCGTTGTGATTCGGTTGCCAAAAAGTGGGCGGCCATATTGGATGACGTTTTTCGTGCGACAAGTAGGAAACCAACAACATTTGGGGGCATGCATGTGGCTTACCCTTGAGCAGTTCAAAACCATGAAATCTTGACCCTTGGTTTTCCATTGGTGAGCTGCGTGGTGCAAACGCCGCTGGAGGGGATGGCCATAACAGCGGCAGCACCCGCGAAGACTTTCTGCCGGATGTAGCCTGGGCAATGGAATGACAGGGGACAACAGCTTCAGTGTACATGGAAGACACAGAAACAGACAGTGACTGTTGCACAGGATGATACTTGGGGAACTGCTGGGGAAAAGGTCGCATCGCTATGGAAAGGTCGAGGTGCAATCTCGCTTGTCGCCAGTGTACTCTTCGGCTCCTGCACAGCAAACGAGAGTCAGTTGCCAAAGTCCCCACCAAAATCCACCGAGCTGGTTGAAGCACGCAAGGTCTGCGGCCCTCTTCATGTGGGAGTTGTCAGAAACTCCTTCTCGGGAAAACTGCCCTTCCGCGGACCTTCGGCGCTCTTCTGCACCCCTAAAGGACATCCAAAGCACTAGCTGTTGCTGGTTTTCGTTTGGGTTTTGGTTGCGTTGGAGGCGCTCCCGAGCTAGGCCGTTCTCAGCTTCGACTTGGACACACTGGTCCGCACGCCTCCCGCGTTACTTCCGCAGCTTCTGCGCTATTCCGGTGTGTTGTGTGTTGGCGCTGCCCTGCTGTACACAACACATAACAAGTTCTGGCGTCTCTTCCGGCGCCCCTCTGCATCTCTTCTGGGCACACGGTGAGAAGCTAATGCCATGTTAGCCTGAAAGTTCGGAACAATCAATAAACCAAATACATTTTGTTTGAGTATAGGCTGTCGTGCCCATTCTGCTTGTGCCTGCAACAAGTGCCCACCAGCTTAGCAGAGATTCCTGTTCAACCCCCCTCTCTACATGTAGCCCCGGCCCAACGCACAACTGCAAACCGTCTTTACCAAAACGTGTTTCTCGGCGGTCGTAGGGGGACTTTCAGCGGACGAGATTTGTCTCCGAAGCATCTGGCTGTCCTACTGCGAGCTGGAGGTCTGACCGGAAGAAGCACTTGCCAGCATGCTTGCCCGTGTGAACGATCACAAAGGCCACCTTGCAGTCAGCACGGGATGGAAGCAATGCTGCAAGTGTGTCACCGGGTGTGTCACCGGGAACGCAACTATCCAGTCAGCAATGCAGCAAGTTAGCTGCGAACAGTACAAAAACAGCTGGATTGCACTCAACTCTGAAGACAAGGGGCGCAGCTGGGCGTGTCCAGGCCTGAGTTACGCGGCAAATTTGTGGACAGAATTCCACAAACACACGTACAAGCACGTCCTGGCGGGGAAACACTGATGAGCATCTGCCTGCTAGCACTATTCACCTGACCCGCACAGCTGATCCTGTTTCCTTCAAGGAGTCAGGATCATGTCCAGTCCCGCGCTTGCGCACTGAATCAACTGAGTCATGCACATTTGCTCAGGCAAGAAACTGCGTCACCTGGTTGGCCGCTGATGCCTCCTACGCGGCGGCAATCCGGTGACCTATGGCTCCAAATTTCATAGCTGAATGTGTGAACTCTTAGTTCATTGGTTGAAGCCTTAATGTCTGAAGTATGATAAGCCGGCCTCCAAAAGGAGCCCGAAAGGGCCATGGGTTCCTTTATGGACGTACCCAAGCAGCCTTTGAACATTTCTAGAGCCCACACTATCCACATTATATGTATATGCATGATTTAGGGAAACATGACTCTTCACCCGGCCCGACCTCTTCTTGAGATCACGGTGCGCCAGGCACAAGACGTCCCGAGTTGCGCTTCCTCAATTCATGACACCAAAAGGAAAACCACCAATTTGGGGGGTCCTCCAAAAAAAGGACACACCCACATCAGAGCCACCCCCGTCCTATGCCGGTTCCACTGCACTGCTGGCCGCCATACTTCACAAAGTGGTGGCTCGCCTTGGCGCCTCAAACGGAGTCTGACGCATCATCGAACTGTGCCAAAAGCCGGCGCTTCCATCAGCTCACAGCTCAGAGCTCTCCCTGTCCTCGTGACATCACCCCAAACTCATTTTGAATTGGCCAGGTGACGCTGAAAACCACAAAAGCAAGTATAAGGGGACCCTTCTTGGGCCTTTCCGTAGGACCAGAGACTCCTTGTTCTTGGCCTTTGGGTTTGACAGGGCCTTCATTGCGGAAGCTCGAGGTTCGTGGCCTTGCTATTCGAGGGAACCATCGGCAAGCAAGCTGGGCGCCCGCGCCTGTTGCCAGTGCAACCTGCGTTGGAAAACTTGTGTCCAAGGCCCTCATCGGAAAGCTTCCCTTTTTCTAGGGGTTGATTCCAATTCCATTCTTTTCAACCATCGTTCTTTTCAACACCAGCTGTTTCCCTGGGTTGTTGATGGCTTCCTGAGAAGAAGGATCCCTGGAAAGAATGGGGAAGGTAGCCCTAGATTTTTTATTCAACACTGAACCAACTGGTGAAGTCCCCGACCACATCCTGTCTTCCTGTGCTCTTCACACAGAGCCATAGATTGCTGCGTCTCAAGCCTTGAAGATCTTGAGCACGGGCTCCGGCTCCTTGGTCTTCATGAGCCCGCGCATCCTGGCGACCTGTGCTCGCTTGTCAAAAACCGCCAACTCTCCTCTCGCGATCCGAGATCGTGCCAGCGGTTGTGAGGCAATCAAACCAATGTGGTGTTCTGGGCGGCTGCACCATGCTTGCCAGCCCCCTACAGGGCCCCTTAGCCGCGTGTCACGGGGGCCATTGCGTTTCCCAACCTCTTCCCTTTGATAGCTCAATTCCTCTTGTGGCTCTCTGACTGAGGACGCAGTGCCCAAAACGCATCCGGCCGGCCTCAACCCCATCGCGGACCACTGATATAGTCCTGCACCCAACGTTCGGCACCTGACCTAAGGTATCGCAAGCGTATGACAGTGCAAACATGTTAAATGGCCAGGAGACAACGAGAAATGTGTGCTTGCAAGCTTTCATGAATACCCCATGCATCTCACACAAGCCCCATCCTTGTGCATCCAACACCCACATGGCTTCATGAACTCAGTGTGATCAGAAAGCGACGAGGCCCAGGGACTGATCTTGATACATTGAAGGTCTGCACTGGCTTGAAAGCTGATGGCGTACTGGTTGGGCAACTCAGCCTCAGTCCAATGCAGCGCTTCTGTCTGTGCATGACTCGCCCAAAGGTCAAGCACTCTAGGTCGTGTGCCCTGGGCATGCTGAGCATGGCCCCCTGAAGCTCGAGCCACATGAACAGCAAGCATGGGTTGCAGTGTAGGCTGCGTGCGTGATCGTGCACGTGCGCGCGCAAGTGTGTGTGTGTGGTGTGGTGTGGCGCGCTGTGGTGTGGGTGTGTTTATGTGTGTTTATGTGTGTGTGTGTCCTCCTAGTCATAGTCCATGGAGCCCCTTTTTCGGGCCAGGAACCCATGGATGTCTGTCCTGGCGACCAGACACCATAGGGCCGCAAACGTACCTACACTTGTCCATGTACATAGTTTCATCTTGAAACGAGAGTGTCGTGTTTGTGAGCATCCCTCAAACGTACCATTCCCGACTGCTTGCGATGTGACTGAAAAGTCTCTGTGTGTGTGTTGTCTGTGTGTGTGTGTGTCTGTGTGTGTGTGTCTGTGTGTGTCTGTGTGTCTGTGTCTGTCTGTGTCTGTGTGTCTGTGTCTCTGTGTTTCTGTGTCTCTGTGCGTGTGTGTGTGGGCGTGTGCCTATGCGTGCTTGGGCGGCTAGTTTGTCTGTGTTCATGGCGTCTGATAGGTCTGTGTGTGTGTGCTTCATAGCGTGGTTGATATGCATGTGAACAATGTGACATTGAGTCGGATGTACAGTGTGTGATATCACAGCTGTTTCGTTGCCCTCAACACACTGTGCAATCAAGCATCTGAGCCTTTCAACCATGACATGAGATTGTGGCACTTAGTTCCACCATTCAGCCTTCCATCTTCATCTGTGGCCTAAGCGTTATCCTTGGGCCCACTCCTCCGCTCATCGATGCTAGAGAAGGTCTTTATGATTGTTTAGTTTCCGGATAAGCCGAATACATTAAACCCAAATCCAGTGCGTGTGTCAAGCATACATCCGCCACATGCTTTTCTCAGCGATTTTACCACGTGATTGTTAGCTTGGCGTTAATAAAGAGCTACAGTAACGCATTTTGGCTATGGTTTGCACTGTTTTACCTGAGAACCTGTGAGAGACTGCCAAGGCAGAATATGTCCTTTCTGGAAAAGCTTCCAGTCTCACGAAACCCTGCCTTTGGAACAAGCGTTTCCTTGCTAGTTAGCAGTGCATCACCATCGTTGTTGCTGAGCTGTCTCCACTGTCCACGTTGCTGTGGCTCAGTAAAGGCCTGGCTGTGTTGGGTACCAGTCCTTCACATCTTGCAAGGATGGTGCTGAATTCCCGGAAAAGCCAAGAGTGACAAAACACCGAGTGGGCGTGGTCAAGCTGGACAGGCTCTTGTTTGAGTGTGTGTATGACCCAAGTCCAGTCCGTACGTGTCCAGGGATCCGTTTTGCGCAGCGCCTTAAACCAGGACAGGCTTGGAATCATCTCCGCAGGATCGCCTTAGCATTGTTTGGCTTCGGACAGCCAACCCCTGCCACGTCATATGCTGGCAGGCCCCGTCTTGGGCCCCGGCACAGCTGGGCGTCCACTTGGTGCCCAGGTCTGCGTCAAAGGCTTTGTTGATGTCGCCATCCTTCGCTCCAATTCGCTAGAGGCTTTGGCCCGATGGGTGACCCTAGACGGGGTTCTAGCCAAAGAGCTCTAGGATGCTACACACATGATGGTCCTTTCGTGCAAGCTGGAACCCGCTTCCTGGTTTAATAGAACCCGTTCAGGGTCCCTGAACACACAATCTTCGAACACATTATCGTAGCTGTTTCGGAGACCTAGCAGCCATGCTTGAATCTCCAAGTCCTAGTAAAGCCCAATTGAGACTCATATCGCAGCATGATTCACCAGAATAACACCTTGGAAAGCAACCTGCAGACTTAGTCAGCATGTCCCGACTATGACATAAATAGTTCGCCTTTCAAAGTTGTTCTAAGGTCGTTTGTTGCAAGAGTGCGCCATGGCCGTGGCAACGCCCAGCCTTGGGCTTCCCGGAGATGCTCGCCACCGGAGCGGCGTGGGTGCATTCGCCTCGGGGTTCAAGGTTGACTGATCTGATCTGACTGGAAATAAACATTTCTAGGGGGTAGCTTCACAAAATCACGCAACTCATCACCATGACGCTCCCTGCAAACTAGCAAATAGTTCGACCCGATTCGACCCCACATCTGCATCAAGGCTGCGTCAACCTGCTTGATCTCCAAACACCAACATGACTCACAATCCAAACCTGGTATTAAAATGGTCTACCCAGCACCATGTAAGGAACTAGAAAGGCGGCTGCAGCCACTTGTGGTTGGAACTGTCCTGTGCTAGCCTTCACCACCCGGATTTTGATCGTGGCTCTCATTGCATCGCTCCAAACTCTTTCGTGGCCTTCAGTTCGCCTGGAAGCGCTCGATTAGCGATTCCCGCCGAGCGGCCGTTGTAGAAGGCTTCGACCTCGTTCACCTGCCACCGGCAGCCCTTGCCGTCATTGGCCTCATCGAAGTGCTTGAGGCATTTCAGCTCCCACGTTTTCCTCTCCTCAAAGACCACCTGGCGAATTGGACTCGAAGCGAACAGCTGGCCTCTAGCAACTTGCCAGCCCATGTCAGGTGATTGGAAGTGCCCGAACCACGAGCTTCCCAACTTAGCCAAACCGAGGCTGTCATGCGCACATGGTGATGTCTACGCAAATCTCGGAGCGTATCACAAACAAAACACTCAAGGCGATGAACTGCAAGGGACTCTCGCTGAGGCGTGACACGTTCCCATCGGATGTGCGGAGATGCAGCCCTCGGCCTCTGGAACCAAATGGAGACGTAGCAGCCCGCCAGTGGCCGACACTTCTGTCTGGTTTTTGAAGACTTTGATCCTGGACGGCTCAGCATGGGTTTGCCTCATGTTGTTTCGGGGGCCTCAAGAGTGGCTGGCTTCATGTTCTGCTCTTGGGCCTTTAAAACCAACCAAGAGGTTCCAAAAAAGGTACCCCAAATGCAGGCGACTTCGCCAATTTGTTCAGGAAGGTCTTGACTGAACCAAGGACCCAGGCTGGGTCTATGGTTTGCCTGAGATATTGAGCATTGCAACTCATTGACATGGGTGTGTGTTAAAATACCCTTTTCGCTGTGGATGGCGAAATCCTGCACCAGCTTGAAACCATGGAAAACCATTACATTATAAATACATGTTGGTATTTATAGGGGAATCATCATTCTAGGTGCAGTATGTCGTCCACAATACCAACACGCCCAGCTTGGCAAGTGATCTCTGGGCTGATGTTAGTGCCATGCTCGAGATGGTCAACGCACAACTCACCAGCCCCATGGAAAGCAAGTTCAGGCCAGCTCAACGTGTGCGCGTTTGGCACCGCAAAATGCGCATGCCCGTGAGGCGGGGAAGGCCTCTTCAAGTGTCTCTAAAAGTGACCCTTCAAACCCTTGAAATGCTTAGTTTCCTTTTTGCATTTCCCCTCAAAGGCCCTCAGGGGACCCTTCACTTAAGAAACACCCATTTCACTACCCGAACCCAGCAGTATGTTCACGCCTTAGGGCCTGGTCTGTTGGTCTGCGTAATTCCGCCAAGTCTCGTCTTGCAGCCAGCAGTGGACGATTGGCTCACCTGGGCCGATCCAACTTTTCCAGTAACTGGCAACATGCCATACCACTCACTAGAAAAAGCAACTGTATGAATGGGCCCATAGAACTGCCCATGTCCTTTGCGCCCCCCCTTGCCTGCCTCGGGCTCTGTGCACCCCAAACACTGCAAAAGGCCGTGCAACAGGATCGATTGGCCGCGCCTTGATGCACTTCAAGCCAGCGTTCGCTTTGAACCTCAGAACTTTCGCAGGTTCTGCGCGGCAAGTTCAGGTCGCGGGATTGATTTGATCACTTCCCCAGCAACATGCCTCACGGAGCGGGATCAAACGGCAGTAGATCCCCATTTCGCCTGACTTGTTCGAGTTCGCCAACAAGGACCCGCAGATTGCCCAAAGCGGTTCTACTTCTGGCGCCATGTGTTTCGAATAGTCACCCTGGTAAAAGAATCAACCCCGGACTTGGATTCGACCCTTAGAACACGGCAAGCAGCTTGATGAAGTACTTGGACGGGTCCGGGTGCTCAGGGCATTCCGAGTGCCACCCAGAGCGAATGTCATGATCGAAGGCCTTGTCGATGCCGTGCTCCGCACTCCTCGGAACCCGAACGAAGCAGCCAAGGTGTGCCAAGGTCTCATATGAGGGTTTCTCAATCTGGACCCCCCGATTTGGTTGGCCTTTCCCATTTGGTTGGTCATTCTGAGTTTCCCTTCTCATTTTGTGTGGGACATCAAACGGACTCTCAGCATTTTGGAGGGCCGAATCATACTTTGAGAAAAACCGCACATTGGACTCCACCAGCCTCACTGGATCACCTCAAACATGTTCTTGGAGCAATGAATAGCCGGCTGGCCTCGTGTACGGGAAGATTTGGCAAAATTTGGCTTTGCCCTCATCCGGGTTCACAATCACGAGCCAGCCCATGTTGGAACCGTGGCGCTCTCATTGTCCGCTTGGCCGGGCAGAGTGCAGAATCTGAATCTAAGTTCTAAAAAAAGCAGCCCATTAACCAAGCAGCAACTTGCGCGAAAAGATACCAAGCTGCATATCTGAGTTTCATTGTTTGGTGGGCCCCAAAACAACTTGAGGCGTTGTTTTTCTCCTTTTTTTCTCCGCCGTGGGGCTTTGGGGAGCCAAGCGAAATTCTGGATTTACACGTATTCCCCAAAACAACATGATGTAAACACATGGGAGGCCGTGCCTCCAGCGACCCACGTCCAGTGTTGTTTGTTCACAAGGGACCCTGTAGGTTGGCAACTGTGAATTGCAAGTGAGGCCTCCATGATGTGGCCCCATGATTTGCCTGGAACAGGTCAATCCTTGACATTCAATCAACGATTGACCTTGCTTGCATCGTAGCCTTCAACCCTGCAAACACAAGACATATTGGCAGACATACCGGTGCGGCTTCCCTCCGTCTTTGATTTTTTTGTTGTGCAAGTATTGATTTCAAGCATTCTTCAACTGAACATCTGAGTTACTTCCCAAATTTCCACATGGAACCACAGGGAAAGCGGCCACAAGCTAGCCCAAACGCCTGTCCTGTGCAGCTTCCTTGCATGGCAAGTCAAGCACTATGCAACCAGCGACAATTAATATCGTACATCTATCATCCTTTAAGCGGACTCTAAATGTTCAAAACATTTTAGCAACAACAATGCACAAAAAAACTATTCAATAAAGGTCATTCTATCTCAAATCAGTGTGAATACTGGGATTTATCACTTACACCACCACATTTGTCTGGTGTGTCTGATCCCCTGAAATCAGAAGTTCCCCAAGCGCCCCAAGGATTGGCATAGTTCGGTCCCGAGGTCGCTATACACTTTTTGTTGATCTCAGGCTTTTCCGAAAAAAGAACGAAAAACAAGTCCCCAAACATCACTTCAAGAGAAACTCGCAAAAAGGGCCAAAAGCTGATCTCCGCCAAAAAGGGAGATATTTTGGGGTCGCTTGAAAGTTTACCTTGCGGACTCCCCATAGAGGCCCATACGGCATGCGCCCAGCATCGTGGCGGCTGGAAAGGCCTGGCCAAGGCGGGCCCCACGTGTCGAGGGTGTCGCATTTGACTTGGGATTCCAAGGGGCTTGCTGGTGCGATAGGTAGGGCATGTGGTTGAATGAACCCAGGCTTTGGTCCCCTTAAACGAAACCACCAGTTGGATGGTTTATAAGGGGCATTATGGTCATTCCCTCATTTCCTGCAGCAAGATAGTCCATGTGCTGGCAAAAGACCCCATTCGAGGCAGCGATTCAGGGTGATTCATGTGCTCCAAAACAAGTCAGGCATCAGCAAAGTGGCAAAGCACTTCAACCCCAACCAAACGGCACTCAAAGCTTGACTGTTGGCTATTCCAATGCGTGAAGATGGTCGAGGTATGTCAACACCCTCACTATTTCAGGGAGCAGAATCCCTGAGTGGCCACCTCAATCCCGATCGAACTTTGGCAAGGGCGAACTTGGGCGTTGGAACCAGGTTGACCCCTTTGCCCCCTATTTTGGAGAAATTTGGCATACCTGTCTTTCAAGCCCAAACCGTTTTCCGATAAGGTCTACCTCGTCCACTGGGTCTAAAAAGAAAGTCTGCAGAATGGGAACACTACATCCACTTGCTCGGGGTTGACCTTGTGAAGATTTCAACACAGGGCTGTGGGGAATGACCACTTCTATGATACAACAGAAAGGGCTTCCCAAAGACTATTTTGTTGCAAAGGGGGATTCCTTTGTATCAAAGTGGGAAAGAAACCCCTTGATCCCACAACCCTGTCTCAACAAGTGTGGATGGGTCAATCAATTAAGCCACCAGGAATTGGACCGCAGATTTTAGTCCATGTTTCCCATTTATCAGTGCAAGCCATTTTGGATACCGATTTTTGACCCGCAGCCAAGTCATCCATTTCTTGGTTGACGTTGGAAGGGGAGCAACAAATCATACTGTAAAATGCTTCCCAACAACAACCATGATTTGGGTGTGGCTCAAAAACAAGTGCCCAAAACGGCTTGCCCTGATAAATGGGAAACAAGGACAAAAAACCTACGGTCCAATTGGTGGCTCAATTTGACCCATACCCATCCCCTCGAAGCGTCCGAGTTCCGAGCGGCCTCGAGGTCCGCGGCCAGCGCCAGCCCGGTGCAGTCGGAGTTGCCGAAGAGCCGCACCTCGTGCACCTCGGCGTCGGCCGGCGGCCGGATGGGAGGCGACGCATCGTGGGACCGTCCATTTCCAGTCTTTCCAGGGATCCTTCTTAAAAAAAACACCCAAAACCCTGGGGAAAACGGTAGGTGTTGGAAAAGAACGATGGTTGAAAGGAATGGGGATCAACCCCTGGAGTCGTTTTGTTTGTTTGTTGTTTTGTTCCCGGTTAGGGACTCCAACAGGGCCAGCACATTTTACAGAGAAACCAAAAGGTCCCTGAAAACAAGCTGAAGTGTTTCTTTTTTGGACCCCCTCAAAAGTATGAAGGTTTTCCTGGTGGTTTCCCCTTAAAGCCACCCAAACAGGAGAAAAAACATACCCAAAAGTAAGCCACCCATTGTATGGGAATTCCACTTTGACACAAACCCATGTGGACCCGCCAACCCCAAAATCGCTGCAAATGTCTGCCCATTTTTGGAAAACGGAACGTGAAAGGAGGTGTCTGAATCTCTTCCCATGGACAACACACGAGACTGGCGTGCAGGCGAGCGTCCATCCACCGGCACCTAAGGAATCAAGGACCCGAGAAGAAGTAGAACCAGAAAAATAGATAGATGAAAGAAATGTGAATGAAACTATAGCAAGTGGATAGATCTTAGATGAAATAAATGTAATAATTGTTGAAAGTGAGAGAAACCTCATTCTAAAGTGTGTGTGTGTGTGTCTCCCCAACGTATCGTCACATGCAGGTTGGTTCCCATCTGTCGAGAGAGATCCATGACCCCGGGGTCTCTTTGTTCACGCGAGTGACAACTCCAGCCGGATGCCATGTGCTGACATTGGCTGATTGGTTCATGGACAACATCCATGGCCAACGAATTCCGCAGGAACTAACAAACGGGTTCTTGCCCCAAAACTATGGGGTACATTCCTGTTCTTCGGGGTGGCTTGAGGGTCCAGGAGTTCCATGCTCCTTGCTGCTCAGTTGCCCCATCTTCTTGTCGTAGTGATCGAAACCTCGGCTGTCCACTGTGCAAACAAAAGGTGGGCTTGGTGTTCTTGAGAGGAGTTCAGTGTCAACCGCTGTCACTTGATCAACTTTAGATTTCCCTGCGGGGAACAGGATCCAGTGTACCAATTTTGCAAGCTGGGTTTGCCCCCAAATAGGATATGGGACCACTGATGTGGGGGCCCGCTTTCGCTTTGGCCTGTTTAAACCAACCTCGGGTTCAAATCAACACACACACACACACCCAGTTGTTGTCGTGAACAAATCCGAGAGCCTTTTCATGGATGGTTGTTGTCCTTTGGTTTGCTATTTCAACCAAGCAAGAAAAGGACACCGTTGGTTCTGTCCTGAAGATTCGGGGACCTTTTCATGGATTTGTTTGCCCTTGGTTTCTCTCTCAACCGACCAGAAGAGGACACCTTAAACATGTTTCTTTGACCAGAAAAGGGGTTCAAATTCCTCCCAAGCTCAAACAGGGATCCTTACATGATACACCTGAATATTGCCTTGTAAATGGTGGTGTCCATTTATTTTTATGGAAAAAGCCATGCTTCAAATGGGCAAAATTTGTCTGTTAAGGAGCCCTGTCAAAGCAACCGCAATTAGTCTAGGGAGCATTTCAGCTCCCACTCCGTGTCCTCCTCCACCACCTCCTGGCAGGCACCTAGCGAGGATCGCAGGCTTCGGCGCCCGAAACCTTGTGGAATACGACGATGGCTAAGGTTGTTCTGGGTGGCTCAAGCGTTTTCAGAGGAACCCCCGCCCCCCCCACCCGCCCCCACCCCAAAAAAAGAGTGCAGCGGTTTTCCTCTTCGTTTCCCATTTAACCCTACCCCCCCTCCCCTGAAAAAAAAGACAGACTCATATAGGCCTACTCTACCCAACAAACCATGTAGAGCAACCTAAGAACAGAGTGGGTGCTGATGGAATCTATACATGTGTGCATGCCAACACATCTGACGGTATGCATGTGCAATAATATGTATATATGTATCTCAGTATATGAGACTATAGAATCCTTCCTCTTCAAATAATCCACATGCACTGTCTATGTAGCTCATTGGTGGCGGATTCTGTGGCCGGTCGATACTTGACAATCAACTGCAACTCTCCGCACCTTCGCTGTCGACGTTGGCAATGCCTCGAGGGGTCGGGCAGGATTTGGCAGCACCTCAGATCTCGGAAAAGTTGAACTTCCTTTTGCTTCAGCCCCCTGGAAAAGCAACAAATATGCATAGCAGTGGTAGATTCTCTTTAACACCACTTAGGGAAAATAACAAAACAATTCTTAAGCAAATGGAAGCGAAGAAATCAGAAAGTGCAGACAGAGGGCAAGTGAAGGTCGCGGGCGACAGGACACCCGCGTGGCACAGCAATGATAGTGCCTCGGTTTGTCAGCTACATTGGCAGAATAAAACACATGGCTGTTGTTTCGCTTAATTAGATGTCAACAAATTCAACCCAGATTTTAATAAATCAAGCCATTGCTGCTACCCTGCCAAAGTTTCGGCCGAACTTTCCTGACACCTGCGTTGGCTTTCAGCTGCGCGAAGAATAGCTTGAGCACCCCCCTTGCGGTTTGGCGTCAAAAGGCACCCGCTGGTTGTACCAAATGCCTGGCCTTTCCGGGAAACGGCCAACATGTGGCTGTGGGTCAAAACCAATGGTACCATTTTGGGGTAGGTGCACCACCCGTTTAGTCAATTTTAGTGGGGATTGGGATGTTCACTGGGGTACAGGATTTTGACCCATGGCCATGTCAGAGGCACTGAAGGTGCGTAGCCTGGCTGGCATTGTGCAGTGCACGAAGCGCCCGCCGCTATAGCGCCGAAACCTGGCACGGCTGGGATTTTGGGAGCGACAGCCCAACTGCCCCCGTTCCTCTAGTGAGCTGCTTCGAGAAGAGCAACTCATCAACACAATGGAGCTCCCTTCACACTCGTATCTTCATATCATGTCCATCAGGTGGATCAACGATATTGGCCGGGTGGCTTTTGTTCGTGGCGGGTTTCCATTTTGGTCTCCTTTGAAACCACAAACACGGGGTGGCCTCAAAAAAGTGACACCAAAAACAGATCCTTCGCGGCTGTGTCGCTCCCGACAGCTCGCTCCCGAGAGCGCGCTCTGGACCCCCCGCCTTCCTCGCAGGGCTGCGGTGAGCCATGGGCGAGCCTCGAAGGGATTCTCTACCGAGGACCCAGAAAAGTCCCCAGGAAAAAAAGAGCGGATAGATGTCCAGGGATAGATGTCCACGGATAGATTTCCAGGGATAGATTTCCAGGGATAGATGTCTACGGATAGATTTCCAGGGATAGATTTCCAGGGATAGATGTCCAGGCGTAGATGTCCAGGGGTAGTTTCCCTTAGAATGCGTCCAGGGATAGATGTCCAGGGGTAGATTCCCTTAGCAAAGGGACAATTCATTTATTCTTGAGCAACTGGAAGACAAAAGCAGCTATAGCCTTCCCAATGCTACACCTTGAAGTGGACCTTGGGTAGCCAAGGGTTGATGGACATGGGTGTGTCTTTAAATGGCTTCCTGTTGGTTTCCCTTTAAAGCCAATCAAAAGGAAACCCCTCAAAAAGACACTTCCAAACAGAGTCCGTGTCAATCACGCTCCCAATGAGCATGGCTTATGCAAGTCATATTCTCAGATTCTGGTTGATGGTGCCCGCAAATGCAAACAAATGATTGCGACTGATTCAAAGTAAGGCACTCAGGCTGGTTTCCTAGTCAAAGGTTGAGAGACATCATTTCTGTTGAATTGGCCCCCAATCCGAAGCTGCCATGTTAAAATATACCTGTATTCCCTCACGCGTTGATCTGCGGCCAGTTGCAGACCTCCCAGCCATCGCTTTCTGCAGCCAAAGCACTTGGCGTTCCTGGGTCGAAACTTCACCGCAAACACTTGACCGTTCTGCCAGCCACAGTCAAGAATCAGAGCAACCACCATTGTGTCCAGGTAGCGAGTCGCCGGAGACGTTTTCCATGCACATTGCAGGGGAGACGGTAAAACTGAAAGGTGCATTTACAAATGCGTGGTCCCAATTTTGACCCGTCCAACTAAAACAACAAGCGCGCGTAACCTCAAATCTGGGATCAAAGGAAAACACACATCATCATGCTGGGTGTGTCGGGCCTGTCTCGCGGGTACCCCTTTTGTGGGTTGCTTGAAAGGGAAACCTTTTACTTTTTTTTAAAGAGGAATCCCCCGTTGGGAGACACACCCACTTTGGCCGAGATGCTCCACATCGGACGGAGCCTCGCGGATGGTTGAGAGGGTGTGTGACTTTTTGTGCGAGACGATATGGACATGGATTTTAATAAGGGACCCTTTGGTGGACATCATTTGGGTAGGGATTCATGTCCACCAATCACTTTTAGGTGGTTTCCTAGTATAATTTATGGCCATGGGCCATATATCACATCCCCTGAGCCATATTCTCACAATATGTGTTCGTCTACATGTCTACAACGGCTCTTGCACCAAAAGCATTACCTGGTCCCACATAGAATCACCTCAGCTTGCAACACAATGAAGACGGACAAAAGAGGAAGATCAGCCGCGTGGCAGGTATTGTCAGCTTGAGTGTAGCCCATGGGCATCAAATCTCGAGATATTGGATTCCGCAACTCCCAAGACAAGCGTATGCAATATTCCCATGCAACGTTTAGTTGGAGAACATACAAGAAACTATGTTAAGGATGTGCTTCGATATTTTTGGTTATTTCAGTTTTTAGTTTAAAAGACAATGTTACTGGAAATTGATTAGCTGGAAGCATAATTTTGAAATACGGAAGGAGTCGCGCAAAGATCCAGCTTCTTACGTAGATTTGGGCGTGTGTCAAGATAGGGGAACACGGTTGGTTTCCTTTTGCTTTCCCTTTAAAACACTCCTGGCGGGCCCAAACTGGCCCACGTTTGGACACATGTTCCCCCGTTCAGATCTCCAAACATCGTGGTAGACATGAGGGTATGTGTCGAACCCGTGGACCCCTTTTGGGCATGATTTAAAGCCCGACGACATGAGTTTCCAAGACCCCAAACGAGCTGGCGAAACGGAAACACATGCAACCGCATGTACCCATGGACGTGACCATTCTACTTGCACGGGCCCACACATGAAAGGTGCCAAAGAGGCTCTAGAAAGAGAGAGGAGTGCGACCCAGGTGAAGGTCAAGGCAAAATCAAACAGGGGATGCGCATCCCCAAACTCACTGCAATGTGTCTGTTTGCGGTTGGGGCTTCCCTAGCCCCCCCGGAGAAAAAAAACCAAACGGGACCTTGGAACCCTCCGGAACCCTCCCTGAAAGCTGCCCCGAACAACCCCAAATTACCCCAGAGCCTTTCTGGGCAGGGACCCCACAGCTTTCAGCTGGGGAGAAACACCACTCAAAAGCAAACAGAAGCCTGTTGCGTTGCTTCCCCCTTTTTTGGCCAAGTTTCCCAAGTTTGGCGAATGCGTGTCTTTGGAACCCTTGGTAGCAAACAACTGTTTGTTGCAGCCCCCTACTAACAATGAACAGAACCAAACAGACCAAACACACACACACACACACACACACACACACACCTTATACGCTGCCCCTTTTTTTGGCGACCGAAAAGGACGGCAGCAACGCGCCGAACTCCGAACCCAAACCGCGGTTGTTCCCCCGACCCAAACCGCTCGCCTGGCAGGGCTCCGGGATGCACTCGAAGCTGGCGGGCGAAAAGACCTGGGCCCTGCATTCCAAGGCCTTCACGCTGGGGCGATACCCGCGCCGGCACTGGGCCGTGCAGCTCCTCGGAGGGAAGATGGGGACGGTTGCGGTGTGCCGTCTTGTCTTTTCTTGTTTTGCTTGTCTTTTCTTGCGTTGTCTTTTCTTGCTTGTGTTTGTTTGTTGTTGTTTTTTTTTGGGGGGGTGTCGCAAAATAGGAATTGAACTGTTGGGTTTCTTTCTTTGTTTTTTCTTTTCTTTTCTTTTTGGGGGGGGGAGGGGGCAAAATGGGAAGGGTGAGTCAATCGTGCCCTAAAATGGCGACGGTTGCAATTGTCCTTTCGGTTTCCCTTCAAGTACCGACCAAACAGGGTCCTTGTCTAAGGCATGGGTCTTGTGATGGACAAAATCCACAAAACGCACCAATTGGTATGGATGAAGTCCCATAAGTACTGGGACAAACCAGCTACCAACTTGGTGCGAAGCGGATTTGGTCCACAGCGGAAAAAAGGGGAACCTAATACAAAAATGCCTTGAATCAGCAGACACCTTGTTTGCAATTTGCAGCAAAACCCCTAATTCACCCACCAAATCGGGATGTGAATTCGGAGAATTCGCCCAGAACACATAAAGCGCACCCCCGAGGAAGGAAGCGGAGCTGAGCGAAAAGCATGCCGTTTGCAGCTTTCTGGGGAAAGACATAATTCACGAACCGCAAACGCAGCTAAAGCTTCTGGGGGAATTGTAATTTCCAGATTCTGAAAATTGACAAAAAACAGCAAGAAGTCCATCTTGGAGTTGCTACACTTCACCAACCGTAGGAACGCACCCTGGTGAACGGTACGACCAAATAACAAAGGGAACTCCTCGGCATCACTGGAGATAAACCAAGTAAGGGGAATACATTTGTGCGACTGCAAACTTGCATTTCAGTAGCATCCAAATGCTGGGTGATAAAAACACAACCTTTTGGCGAACATGAAACATGAATACAACTCTCAGGCACCGAGAAAATACATCCGCTTGGCTAAGCGCGATGCGCATGTTTTTCAGCAGAGGGGTCTCTTTGGATCCAAATTTGGCAAAAGGCAACTTATCCTCAGTTGTGAGGGAACAACTTGGAGCCATGAACAAACATCATGCTTGAGCATCCGAAGTCACACACACACAGAGTCCAAATGATGTTCACTTCATCCTGAAACAGACATGAGGCTGTACAGGAACCTGAAACTTTACTTTGACCAGCAAGATGTAGGCAACATGCGTCAACTTAGCATCACATGTCAATTTGCGGCTGAGGGTCTTTGTGCTTCCAGATCGAACTTGCTCATTATGTGCGTTCTCAAAATAAGGCAACCTCCTCAAATGCCCATGGTGTCCATTTGGTTCTAAATCAAACCCACTGGGTCGCTCTTTCTGAGCAAAAGCTATGGAGGCAATTTTCAATCCTTTTGGGCCTTTGGGGTCACACCTCATGGACCAGCAAAGGAAAGCCCGAGAATGGCCATGGCTTCGATTTGCTTTCCAACTGAACTCAAAACCACCCTGGTGTCCAGCTGCTTTCCACTTGGCTCCCCTCTAAGCCCAAAGTCCACTTGGCTTCAATGTAAGTCTCCCGCCAAAAAAAAGCCTGCTGACGAACCCCCGCACCACTTAGATGTTTTCCCTATATCTTCATAAACAACTGCAGGATTTTCTGAATCCACGGTGCCATGGTGCCCTCTCAAAAAAAAACATCCTACCTTGGGATAGCCCACCTACCACCTACCAGGCGCGGGCAAGAGGAGTCATGTCCATGGCTCGTGCCCTCCCCGGTTTCATAAGAGCGTCTGGCCCGACACCACGGACTCGCCGTCCAGGCAGCCGCTGCCCTGCCGGTTCCGCACCTCCGGCGCCTGGCAAAAAAAAAACAACATGGGTATCCCAGGGCAGGCAGAAGGCTTGGCCTTTTCACCCCAGTTTCAAGCACATTCGCTGCCGGATTCTCCAGGCTTTACGGAATTGGACAGATTTTCACGATTCACTAAGTTTGCTGGATTCTGACCAATCTTGCCTGATTCTTGCCAGAAACTCATTTTCGCCTTCTCCCGATTTCGTTGGCTGAAGGGTCCGGCAGCTTCACCTCGGTTTTTGGTTGAACATGTGCAGCTGCATCCCCCGAAAAGCGTAGGAAAATCGTGCAGGTATCCTTCTTGCAATGTGCAACAGGCAAACCGTGGCACCGCGAAAATGGTCGATGGTCAAATTGTGAGACTTAAACTAAAAGCAAGTGTAACCACATTAACCATTGGCAAGCATAGACTTCATGCTGCCCAAAACATCTCAAACAAGTGTCCAGATCCTTTTCCTTGCAGCCAAGGTCTGCTAGAACTTCTTATCGCCTCGCTGACATCTCAGTGCTGCCAATATGAACATGAGATGCAGGGGTACAGTACTTCCGCAGCATGCACGGGCTACAGCTTCCACGGAAAGCGTGTCATGCCTCGAATGCACCAAGCACTTCTAGGACAAACAAAGGTGAAGCGGCGCTCTTTTTGGTTGGTAGGGGTGGGGCTATCATGTTGAATGTAGTATGTTATATTTATACATACACAAGCCCAGTACGCATTCTGTAGATATATGCTATCATTGCATGTCTGTAAGTGTACGTGGCATACCATGCTCAGATGGTCAATGCTTATTCGAACATATTTATGTCGATGCATACAACAATGTCACCTTCGTCGATCAATCCCGATGTTTCTGGCACAGCAACACAGTAGTGCCAAGGAATAAGACTACTGGGGCCTTCATTGCGGTTTAGACACAATGTTCCCTAGTAATGGCAGAGACAAATTTTTAGACATGACTGGTTCCACTATGTTTGCCTGAGACAACGACTCAGGAGACATCATCTGCGCTGTGTCGGGGAGTTTTCCGCACGAGGATAATGTGGGAGTAATAACAGCATGGCCTCATGCAGCACACACTTGTCGCATGCATGAAGCAGATTACTCCGCCCCAGCTCGAAGCCAGCTTGAATCCCCTTTTGCCAGCAACAGATCGCCGCTTTTCAAGGTCCCCCCTCCGTCCGCCCCGCGGATCCTGCCTGGCAAGGTTGCGGCAAGCACTGGAAGTTCGCTGGACTCCTTCGACAGAGTATGGGGGAAACCCGAATCGGGAACCAAACGGGGAATCTTCAGAAACATGGCAATCATATGTCATTTCTGCTATTGAGTGGGTCAGTTGGGAGTGTTATGGGATTTCCAGCAATTGAAGTGGGGGCATTGCAATGGGACCACCACCCGATAGTAAGCCAGGGGTGCATTCATGCTGAGCTCCAAGTACTTGCGGGGGGATTAGGCCAACCAGTTCTTCAAACATCCTCAACCTTGCGGTGTTCCAACAACCGCCCTTTGGCTTCCGCGTGACAGGACCAGGGTATTCTGTCCGGCATGCGAACAACTCAGATGCCGCCTTTGAGTCGGACTGAGTCCACGACAGTACTCCAGCTGCGCAGGTCAGCTTGGCTGCCTGCGATGCATATTCGCAAGTCCTTGATCTTCATTGAACAAAGCTCTCCGAAAACTTTTGCCCAGAGGTTCTTCCCAAAAGGAACCAGGCCTGAAGAAAACATCAGCACCTTTGCCCTGACATGCAATCCTTGGATGATTTTCCTTTTGGCATCCCTTTAAAACCAACCAAAGGGGGGCACCAACCTTTAAAAAAACACCCCCCCCCTGTGTTCTGTTTTTCAGACCATTGATCTCCCGCAACATTTGGCTCAAGGGCCCCTTTTGTAGATCACAATCATCCGTGATAGCGTGTGACAAAAGAGCCTCAGCAGGCCGCTTACAGGATTATCCACAAGACAATCCACCAGGGACAATCCATCCTCCAATCATCCACACTGGCATATTTTGATTCTCTCCGGAATAGATCCAGGGACCAACAACGACCTCAACTACCACAGGGTTCCAGTTCCCTCCGGGGATAGGCACCTGGGCAGTGGGCCTCAATTTGTGGTTGACTGTGGTAGCGGAGCGGGTTTTCCGCAGAGATCCAAGGGAAGATGTCATCCGATGGAGAAGGCTTCATGGAAGCCTATACAAGTATGGCAAAGCCGAGCCATACGGAGGAAACACTAAATTTATCGATGACCGCCAAGCAGCCGCCATCGTACGACGGAAAAGTCAGCTGGTTCAGGTACGAGGAACTCGTGGACGACTGGGTGACCATCACCACAGTAGAAGCATCCAAGCGAGGTCCATTGCTTCAGAGCAGACTCACTGGAGATGCTTACATGTACAAGGCCGTCCTCCAGAATGATCTTTTGCAAGATCCTGATGAAGAAGTCAACTATTTCAAGAACACGCTGAAGGAGTACTTTTTGAAAGGTGCGACCAACGTGTGTCTGTACAGACTCCTCAGTTTCTTCAATCATCGGAGGCAGAACCAAGAGTTCCACATTTTTACCTCAAATTTCGAAATCCTACTTATGAGACTGAAGGCAGCATGGATGGACTTGATGCCAATCTTTACGGCACAGTCTCCATCATTTCGACAGTCCGTACAGGACGCAAATGCAAGAACAATTGCTCGACATCAGCAAGCAGCCGGTGTTCGAGCACCGCCTCCAGCCCTGCTCAATGAGGACGATCTGACAGTCCTCAGACAGTATATCCAAGGAATGCAGGACAGACAGCGGGACGCATTTCCCTTCGGGGATAATCTCATTGCACAGTTTTTCATTTTTCAAATTGAGTTGTCAGATCAGCAACGAGAAAGACTGACAAGTGCAATGTCATTAAGAAACATCTCACTTGAGAATTATTCCTATGAGATGCTGAAGACGCCTTACCATGAACTCTTCATCACGACGAGGACATCGATCCAAGATCCATCCATCCGACCTCAAGGAGGCAGCCGAAGCAACACATTCTTCATCATCGAACAAGGCGAATACGAAGGAGAAGAAGGCTTCTGGGTTGAGGATGAAGAAGGACTTGAAGGATTCATGTCAAACAACGGTGAAGAGACGTTCTGGGTCCT